TTTCTGTTTTTTTTTTTTTTTTTTTTCTTTCCTTCCAATCACCCAGTACGTGGCACTGAGGGGGTCACTGGGGGTCGGTTTTGCTGGGGTCTGCCGCATTTTTCATACTTTTTATAGTGAGAAATAATTTGTCATTTTATGTTTTGTATTATCTCACTTTTTAATTTTTTTACTATATTAAAAAAATTTAAAATTTTGCATTGGAGTTGATCTCATTTGCATGGTGGCGTAAATATTTCTTTGTACATCAGACTTGCACAAAAATATTTCACCTATAATATAATTACTTTAATATTATCTCACTTATTAGTAATTTTTCCAAAATATTTCATCCTCACCAAATGTATATAAGAATTTTTTTTTCCCACTACACTTTTCACTGTTTTTACTTTTTCATCAAGTTTTCACTCTAGGGTGGTCCCCTAGTCTCTAAATTTTTTCAAGTCTAGGTTCAACTTCTCTTAAAAGCCATTCTACATGACAATTATTAAAAGTATGAACTTCAAAACTTTCGAAAAATGGAGCTACAAGAGTGCCCTTGTGCATGACCTTTGACACCAAGATAGTGTATGTACAATCAAAAGGCAAATAAAACAAAAGCATAAGGGAATGATTAACTGCAGGCCCTCCCCAAAAAGCATATCTCCTATGAAATCTATAACAAAAAGGACGACTCACAAAATTGTTCCTTCACCCAAAAATGAAAAGAACAAAAAAAATTTAAGCTTAAAGTAATGAATGGACATCTGTACATCCTCAAAAGTTGTCCAATTCCTTTCCCTCGAAAGGCAATAGATGAGACACAGTGACTCTCCAAGCCTTCTTTTATTTCTTCACTTGACACCCATGCTCCTAACCTTCAAACAACTGCAAAACCTACCCAGCGCACTAAAAATGCCAAATACCAAACACCATACAATCATTGATCGCTAGCAGCATCACAATGCATCAATGAGTGATCCACTGACTCCTCCACTCTCCTACACATGCAACACCAATTAGGCAACAGGAACATCTTTTACCCAAACTATCCATAGTCAAAATTGCATCCAATAAAGCTGTTCCAAAAGAAAGAGGAAACAAAAAAAAAAAACTATCTTGATGGTAACAAAAGTATTCCAAACTAACTCCCAGGAAAGTTTGTCAACTCCCTATCACACAAAAATGAGTAGGAGGACTTAACAATGAACTTATCTCCATTCCTTCTCCATCTAATTCATCAACCCCATTTCTATTGATTATGAAACCAACTCGAACTTTGACATGAATAATCAATTTTATTGTAAGATACGAATTTAACATAAATTTTTATATGTACCCCTGTTAAAGCTGAAAAACCATAATAATTATTTAGCAACAGAAAAAGCAAGCTAATCTTAAACTACAATGTACAAACAAACTTGTCATTTTTGAAATTTTCTTCCATTTCCAATTATAAAAAAAAAAATGCAATGACAGTTCAAAAACACAAGCCAAAATATTAAAGATAGTGATGAATTTCATGATAAACGGAATCAAGAAAATAAGGAAGAAATACCTGGGAAAGATCTCTTCGAGAGAGAGAGACCTGTATAATAGAGGAATGGAGATAAAAATTGTGGGGCATGATATTTGCTCCAAGAAGACTCATCAATGTAAATGCACTCTCCCCACTTAACTTTGTAAGCATCACACTCGAGGACATTGAAATTTCTGGTTGACTAAAGAAAATTCCGAGAGCATAAAAAAGTAATATAAAGCTTGCCATTGATATGCAAAGGAACTTTGCCTTCCCATTATCCTGAAAAATATGTTTTCTTGATATTATAATACTGTCAGCTTCAAAATTATAATACTAACAACAGATTATACAGAAATGGGAGAAATCAAGCTTACCAAGAGGGTGGCAAAAACTGGAAATAGAACAGCTTCAATAGCAGTCAGAAAGACACAAGTGAATAGGTCTGCGCCTAAAATTAGATTGAGTCCCTGTGCAGTGCCCAGAATCTAGCAGAATAAAGGCAAATATGAGAGGGATTGTGATTCACAGAAACAACAAAATATATCATCAATAGTTAATGACAAGGGCGAAAATACCATAGTAAGGTCCAAAGCAATCATGGAAAGCTCAGTTAGAACTCCCAAGAATATGCATGTGGTCTTGTCATACTCTTCACTGCAAATCTTTTCCATCACCAAGGGAAAAAAAAAAAATCTAACTAGTTAGTGACTGGCACAAAAGCATGCAAGTAAATCAACAGAGCACCTAATAACAGTATTACAGGTTTTACAGCAACAAATAACAACATTAAATTTGATGAGAAGGGTTCAAAGCAGGGCATACAACCTAGTTAAAGTACATAGAAGGCAAATCTTTGCCATCAACAAGGGGGGAAAAAAAAATATATATATATATATATATAGATATAAGTAGCTAGCGACTAGTGCAAAAGCATGCAAGTAAATCGGCAGCACTTAGTAACAGCATTACAGCAACAAATAACAACAGTACATATGATGAGAAGGGTTCAAAGCACAACATACAACCTATTTATAGTACCTAGAAGGCATTACTCTATATTGACCATCCAAACTTGAAAACAAAAGAATAAAAAATAAAAAAATTCACCATTCTAACAAATAAATAAGGGCTCTCAACTCAACGCAACAATGTTTCCCAACTATAGACAAAATAATAGAAAATTCATTTAAAAAAAATGCTCTCTAACTTCATGCCCTTTTCTTTTCTTTTCTATTTTTTATTTTTTTTTTATTTTTAGAAGTATGATTATATTAAAAGGACACCAAGATAGTGTATGTACAATCAAAAGGCAAATAAAACAAAAGCATAAGGGAATGATTAACTGCAGGCCCTCCCCAAAAAGCATATCTCCTATGAAATCTATAACAAAAAGGACGACTCACAAAATTGTTCCTTCACCCAAAAATGAAAAGAACAAAAAAATTTTAAGCTTAAAGTAATGAATGGACATCTGTACATCCTCAAAAGTTGTCCAATTCCTTTCCCTCGAAAGGCAATAGATGAGACACAGTGACTCTCCAAGCCTTCTTTTATTTCTTCACTTGACACCCATGCTCCTAACCTTCAAACAACTGCAAAACCTACCCAGCGCACTAAAAATGCCAAATACCAAACACCATACAATCATTGATCGCTAGCAGCATCACAATGCATCAATGAGTGATCCACTGACTCCTCCACTCTCCTACACATGCAACACCAATTAGGCAACAGGAACATCTTTTACCCAAACTATCCATAGTCAAAATTGCATCCAATAAAGCTGTTCCAAAAGAAAGAGGAAACAAAAAAAAAAAACTATCTTGATGGTAACAAAAGTATTCCAAACTAACTCCCAGGAAAGTTTGTCAACTCCCTATCACACAAAAATGAGTAGGAGGACTTAACAATGAACTTATCTCCATTCCTTCTCCATCTAATTCATCAACCCCATTTCTATTGATTATGAAACCAACTCGAACTTTGACATGAATAATCAATTTTATTGTAAGATACGAATTTAACATAAATTTTTATATGTACCCCTGTTAAAGCTGAAAAACCATAATAATTATTTAGCAACAGAAAAAGCAAGCTAATCTTAAACTACAATGTACAAACAAACTTGTCATTTTTGAAATTTTCTTCCATTTCCAATTATAAAAAAAAAAATGCAATGACAGTTCAAAAACACAAGCCAAAATATTAAAGATAGTGATGAATTTCATGATAAACGGAATCAAGAAAATAAGGAAGAAATACCTGGGAAAGATCTCTTCCGGTGACCACAGCAATACGAGCTGAAAGGTACTGACATAAAATAGCAGCAAAATTGAAAACAAGCATTAGCAGAACCAAATCAGACCCAAAACGTGCTCCTCCCTCAACAGCAGCAGCCCACTTTCCTGGATCAACGTATCCTATCGCAATTAAAAGCACAGGTACAACCGCTGGAAGTAACCGCTGACCAATGCCTGGCTGATGGTTAGGAGTCAAAATTTCAGTGTCCATGTTGTTCGACTCTTCACATAAATAGGAATTCAGAGCTATAGACTAATAGTTAACTAACTCTTCCAAGTAACAGAAGAACCTCCCGGCAACTATTGAGCTCAATAAAGTACACAGCTACATAATAAAAATGTACTTTCAGTGCAGAACACCAATCTTCATCACTCATTCAAAATAAAGTCGAACTTGACAATATAACCACACTGCTCACCATCTTCAGAGAATACAAACAATACAACTACTCGAGTAAGAAAATCTGGCAGACCACTGTAATAACTGTGCTAAGTTGCCCAGATCAAATTAAACAGCTGCCCACAAAATCGGTTTAGTCACATGACAACAGCTGACATAGCAAAACTTTAACTCTAGTTCTGCTCCAAATCAAAACCACCTTCATGCTAATACTGAATGTTCCAATAAATACTCCAGAATTTCTTTTCTCATGTTCTCGATATGATTAGAGCACTAACATACCAAGGCAAAATTCCACCCAAAAGTTAAGTTCACAAGAAGGAAACAACCGATATTATTGTATTTCACAAACTCCACAAAGTTGCATATGGCCGAAACACTTTCTCTTTGAACCACAGTTCAAACTTCCAATCCTGAATCAACAAGGCAAATACTGAAAATAAATCAAAATTAAAGAAAACTACTGTCTAAAATCCAAATTCTATAACATGGAATAAGTACTAAAAGTAACGAGATCAACACTTTAATAGGACCTAACCCAAGACCATTCACAAACTTAACTATATATGATGAAACCACCTAATTTACTGGCAATAGAGCAGTTCAATGAGTTGACTTACACCAGTTTTAAAAAATTAATGAGATTCACTTTTATGATCGTACATATCTACATATAATTCTACAATTACACTTGTCGAAATTACATTAAACGGCAATGTAAAAACAAAAAATTCAAACCATACTGTCATAAAACTGTAAGACATAATAAAAAAAATTCAATACTAAAAACCCAGATAATATCAAAATGCCAGAACCCAAAAGCTTAGATCTTTCCTGTACTACCCAAATCACCAAATAACAACAAAACAGTTTCCAAAAAACAAAAACAGAAAAAACAGAGTCCAAACCCTAGAAACGGAATAGAGACCATCATCTGCACCAAATTGACTGAAACTGGTATGGATCTATTGCACATACCCGTGTGCATATATATATCGATTCAACATGTGATTGTATAGAATATGCTACAGCTATATACATATCTATAATTAGGTTTTTCCAAGAATATTGTTGTTGCTGTTGTTGTTGTTACCTTCTTCTTCTTCGTGTTCTTCAGGAGTTTTTTTTTTTTTTTGTCTTTTCGATTCTGCCCAATCTCAGTGCTACACAGTAGATCAGGGCTTTTATGAAGCCTCGAGTTAATTGAATTCTAGTGAGAGAAAGAGAGTTCTGAGCTGAGAGCGTAGAGAGAGACGAAGTAAATAGGAGTATAAATACTGAGAGAGAGAGAGAGAGAGAGAGAGAGAGTAATGTATGGAGTGAGAAAAGGTTGCAAAAGGCAACGTTTAATCTACTGTTTATTTTCATTTCATTTGTACTATTTATATATATTGAGTTTGGAAGATGAGTTTTAGAGATAAAAAGTACGAAAAGTTGTTTGGTTTGATTTTTTTCAAAAGATGTTTTGAAAAATTATTTTGAAAGAGAGTTTTGGAAAAAGTGATTGATTTGATGTGTATGAGAGAGAGATTTGTTTGGAAAACTTGTAAACCAAACAAGTTTTGGGAAATTTTTTTGGAAAAATTTGTTTGATTTGATTACTTTTGAAAACTTATTTGTAGAGAATTTTTTCCAAAAATTTTTAGGAAACACAAACCAAACAAGGCCATAATTTTCATTTCATTTCATTATATATCTGCCAAAGGTATAGTGTACATTTTCTTTCTCTAAAATTATACTAGACACTTTCTCTCTCTAACCTGTCCTTTTTATTTATTTGTTTACTTTTAACTCTTCACTCAAATTTAGGTAAAGTTTGACCACTCAAGAATAATTTATTTTACACTTATTTAGGTTATCCCAAACAACTTCTTATGGTGCCAGATGGCTAAAAAAAATTTCCCAAAAAATTTTTAAGCTTCTGAGAAAGTATTTTCCGAACTTAAAACCAAGTATGACCTGGAACTTCAACCACGTCAATTCTTTTTATTTTTATTTTTTTTTAAGAGACGAAGGTCTTGTTTGATTTGATTTTGGGAGAAATTTTATAGAAATATACTCTATAAATACTTTTTTAAGAGTAATCAAACTAAATAGATTTTCTCAAAAAAAACTCTTAGAAATGTGTTTGGTTACCCAATTTTCAGGATTACTTTTGAACATGTTTGTAAAAAAGGCAAACCAAATAAGTTTTTATATTTTTATCTCAAAAACTACTCTCCAAAAAGGCAAACTAAACAAGTTTAAATAAGTTTTTATATTTTTATCTCAAAAACTACTCTCCAAAAAGGCAAACTAAACAAGTTTTTATACTTTTTATCTCAAAAAGTACTCTACAAAAAGACAAACTAAATAAGTTTTTGTACTTTTTTATCTCCAAAATTACTCTACAAAAAAAATCAAAATTATTTTAGAGAGAATATTTGAGAAAAGACAAACCAAATAAGTTTTTGTACTTTTTATCTCAAAAACTGTTCTACAAAAAAAACCAAAATTATTTTAGAGAGAATATTTAGAAAAAAACAAACTAAATAAGTTTTTGTACTTTTTTTGTCTCAAAAATTACTCTATAAACACAAGCTAAACACACCCGAAAGTTTTTGATATTGTGTGGGAAATTTTCCGACCACACTGCCAACTCAATAATTTAGCTGGAGAGCACTGGCAGAATAGATGGCACCTGACTGACCTGCAACAGAAATATAAGAATCCCGCGGTGGTTCGTCCACCCGGGGGCACTCCGACGATCAAGTCAGTATATCTCTCAAAGATAATCAATTATTCAACTCACAAGTTTGAGCCTAAAAAACATACCTTAGACCCATGGGGGTGCCTCTCTTTTATAGCCAACATAAACCTAGTCCCAATAGAAGCCTAACTTCAATGGACTCAGGATTACTGCTAATCTTGGACTCCCAGTAAGATTAGGATAAACTCTCTAAGAGTCTTATCTTAATACAAACTGAAATCTTCTCTCATTCTAGGACTCTTGTCCCCCATTCAGGTTGAGTTCCCTTTTCATTTTAGAACTCTTGTCCCTTATCCACTTATCTTGGATTCCGATATCTTCGGAGATAACCTCGGCTTTGTCGAGATCACCTCGGCGTCACGACCAGGACTCGTGGCACCTCGACCGACACGTCAATGTCACCTTACCACGTGTTGGTACTCAGAACATATATCCCCACAGATAGGATAAAAGGTGTTTGATAAGGGAAGTTATTGAAGGTCTTCGGCACCATTATGTGTGTCTCTAATGATGCTGTGATTAGTGAAAATTGTAAGGTTTATAAATTTGTATTAAATGATTGGGGAATATAAATAGTATACTGAATTGTGATTAATATGAAGTATAGTCACGTGGCGTCTCAAGACCAACTAATAGTTTTTCGTTTGATAATTGACTTCCTTTTTTGTTGTGATTTTTTATTTTTTATGAATATATGTATAAAAAAAATATAAAGGATAATTTGAAAACTTATACTGGTTTTTTAGTTTTTTTTAGTTGTTGTTGTTAAAAAACACCTTCACAAACAAGGCCTAAAGAGGTGAAAATTGTAGAAACTTTTTTTAAAAAAAATGCGTTTTCTTAAAGCACGAGATTGGTGAAAAAAAACAAGAAAATAGAGTTGTTTTTTGTTTTCTTCATTTTTACTTTTTGTTTTTATTATTTGTATTTTGGGAAATAAAATAATAAAAAATGCTAAAAAACTCATGAATTTTCACTTTTTTTTTTTTTGAACAAAAACAAATTTTGAATGGTCCTTAAAAAAAGGAGTTTAAAAAAAAACACCCAGGTGTCGTTTGGTAACACTTACGTTTTCAGTTTTCTGTTTATATTTACAAAAATTTAAAAAAA